TTTTTGGGCTCAACATTTTTCATGTCCAGTAAAGGATACATTTCTGAGTGAATTTTACTGAAAAACGTTGATTAAAGGCACTAAAAACGTGCACCTTCAGTTTCCAATGACTCTCAAGCTAAGGAAATAACTAAAGTTTGGCGGCCATTTTCTCGCCAATTTTACCTCTGAAACCAGCCAATATCTCGACTTGTATCCAGATAGATGGATATTTTTTTCTTTGAAAGCAAGACACAAGCTTTAATCAGGAACCAACAACTCCTCATGCCCAAAAATTGACGAGCGCCTGATTTTACCACGTCGTAACACATATTTATTAATACAAGCGAGCGTCAGTTCGTTCCAATGTTTATAAAAGAAGCAACTCGTGCAGGTCATTTGTCACAGTTTGTGATCGTTCTGAGGTATTTTAAGGACGGAAAGTCGGTAGAGCGGTTTCTAAAATCTTTTTTGAAGCCAAAGATAGAACTTCATTAGGGCTCGTGTCTACCCTAAACGAAGCTTTAGAACTTACGATAGGGCCGCTGTAATGATGGGGAGAATCTCTGATGTACAGACTCAGATGTGCCAATGTTTCCCTCATGCTGTCTTTGTTCATTGCTATGTGCATCAGCTAAATCTTGTTTTAAAGCACGCTTGTTCAGGGCATATCAGACTGCAGGATATTTCTCGCTAACACTGCAGGCTTTTCGACACTTTTTGCCCACTCTACAAAAACGCATCGACGTTCTCAGACGCGTTGTTTTCACCGAAATATTCCATGGCCGTCTGAAACAAGGTGGAATTTTCAGTCTGGACTTATTAGCACAGTCTTCACTTGGAAAGGAGAGATCCAGCTCTGTCTTGAAGAAATTCAGTTTGAGCACTGGGACGATAATACCACCCACGAAGCGTGTGGTATCTTGAATGTACTAAAGAGCGTCACCTTTCTCTTCTGTTTGCACTTTTAAAAACAAAGTGTTCACGCACGTTGACATTGTGTGTGGGATCCTCCAACACAGAAGTACAACGCCCATGGCAGCCCAACAAGCTCTAGGCATGTTTTTAAAGCAACCGTCAAAGAAATTTTCGTAAAAACAGTCTAAGTGTTCCATTAACAAATAAGACCACCGAGGAACAAGCTTCCAAGAGACACAGTCATCACAACACCAACGAAATTGCTGCCAAGGAGGCCTGTGGCATAATAGTTAATTAAATTGTTGACCGTTTTTGTTGAAACAAAATAAAATCAATCGTCGACCCGTCCAAATTCCAGGACGATCAAAAATCGTTTCCTTCAGTTCTATTGGATCGTATAGCAGAAAGCTGTTATGTTTTGCAAATAATGAAGTTACAAACAGGATTTTATATATTACATTGCAATGAGACCTGTGAGTCTTCTCGCTGTCGTAAAATCCAGGGCCTTTATTCAACTCTGAGGAACTATAAACTCGACACAACAATTAGAGAAGTATGCAAAATCCTAAAAATCGCACTGATCTTTTTTTGTCGATCCACAAGGACATCATTGACAGCATCCGCAACTTCGTCAACAAAGTAATGGACACCTTTGCTGCTGCAAAAGAACGAAGGGTAGACTTCTTCTTCAAATAGATTTTCTCTAAACAGATAGTATGTAGAAGGCATCTCACTTACCATGCCCTTGACTATCTTCAACCTGTTTAAAGATAATTGTACACGCCCACTTTTTAGACCCACTAGCCGCCCCTTGTTGTATCCCTTTCAGCCCGGGTTGGCCCTGGAACTGACATGCAAGGTCGGAAGCCCGTCTTCTATATTATCAAGGCCTACCAGTGGCGGTCGGTGAACCGAAATTTGGGTGCGGCTTAGGCTGCTTCCACTTCTTTACCACCAAAATAGCAAGCAATAAGTACAAAACAAAACAGAGAATATGATTTTTCTATACTCCTGGTGAGCCGCGGCATATTGAGAGCCATTTAAACGGAGAAAGTGTCAACTTTGTCTTCCGTCTCTGTGTTCTACGTTAAATTCTTCTAGATGGTGGGGACGAAGCCGTTTCACTTCCAGATTTCCTTTATTTAATTTCACTTTATGAAAAAGTTGCCTTAAATGTGGTTCGACGTGATTTATAACCGTTAAATCAAAGCGGCACGAACGCAATCACGCACACACTGCACTATTCCGTATATGAGCTGGGTTAGGACATGCAGTCGAGAAAAAGCAGAAAGCGCTTAACAAATGTCCAAAGAGCTAGTAAGTATCTGTGTCACTGGGGAAAGGGTGTCGTAAACTGTCACTCCTTTGTCAGGGCTCGGAGAGCTTGAGCCCTTGGTGCAGTGTTCTTTTTTCAAGTCCTTCAACTTTTTTACAAAAAGAGTTTCATAAATGAAAGGCCATGGGGACGGGCTCAGACTTTGCTGAGCCCTAAAGACATTTTTTGGGGATTGGCTATTAGGTTACTATAATTGTAAGGGGTGACAACAGTAATTGGATAAACGAGCAAGCCGCCAAGTTTATCACTCTGTGTTCATTGCTAGCGATTTTACCGGTTTCAACTGCTTATTTTGTTAAGAAACGTTCAATTACTTTGGGATAGAATTGGGGGTGGGAAGGGGGGGGGGGGCTCAAGCCCGTGAGCCCCTCACTACCCACCGCCACAGGGTCTAACCTGCGCTGATACGGCGTAAAAGATCACCTTCATTAAATCGTGCCACCAATTGCTTTAGATGGTTCTGTTCAGTGATGTGAAATAATATTGGACTGAATATTAATAGTAATATCATAAACTGGGTTGTGCTCTCGACTGTTGCGCATTCTGAACATTTATTGCTCGATGTATATTTGAATTCACGGGTGTTGAGTTACTTCTATCATGTCAGAAAGTGTTGAACACGCGACCTATACAGATGGTTCGATTTTGTTGTCCAAGTATACACCCCATAATATTATAAGCACTAGGAAGAGTGAAAGGGTGAGGAGGGGGAGGGGAAGGTGACAGTGAGAGTGAAGGAGAAATGGGGTAAGAGAGATGGTCAGGGGGAGGGTGTAGGGGAAGAGGGTAGATCTAAGCCTGATGTGACTGGGGGAGGGGAGGTGAGGGGGGTAAGAGTGATGGTGAGGGAGAGAGTGAGGGGCAGGGGAATGGTGAAGGGGAAGGTGAAGGGGAAGGGGAGGGATATGTTGTTGGGAATGGTGAGGAGAGGGGGAAATGGAGGTTAAGGGAGGGGGGTGAGGATGAAGAGAAGGGTGTGGGGAAGGAGGGAATGGTGAGGGGGTGGGTGAAGTAGAGGGGATGGAGAAGTGGGCGAGGAGTAGGAAGGAGGAAGTGCGCGGTCTCTGTGTAGGTGACGTGGTAAAATTAAAGTGCCAGATCTGCTGCAGACATCGGCGATCATAGTTGTCCATTCCTTCTTTTGCTCGGATGCTCTTAAAAAAGCTACATTTCCCTGATCTTTCCCAGTTACCCATTTGTTTAGGTTCCTTTAGTAGGTTGCTCTGGGCCTAACCCTGCCTCGTTTACCTTAAATTTTGCCAATGAGAGCTAGATGTTCAATCCTTTATGTCTATTCAGTGGGCCCAAAAACTGCATTTGTCGTTGCCTGATTGTTAACAGTGAGGGTCTCATGTGGGCTTCATCAAGCAGACGTCGTAAATATCGGAAAGTTTGGGCGAGAGAAGACAAGGACTTAAGGTCTACGAAAGTGTTGGGTCATCAAGACATGGTACAAGCTAATTATATCTGTCAAATCCTAGACAGGGAGGGGACAAGTGGGAGGGCGAGGGGGTGTAGTTTATGGTTTACGAGGTGAGTTTCATTTTTGTAGAGTGGAAAAAACACAGCCTACTTCGTAGTTTTTGTTTGATTGTTTTCGTTTTTGTTTTGTTTTTAGGAGGTCGGCCTTATTTTTGTGGAGCAAAAATTTCACTGCATACTTCGTAGTTTTATGATTATGATTATAGTTTAGGGGGTTTGTTTAGAAAAATCTTTCTGTGGTTTTTTAGGAGGGGGTGAGGGGAGGATGAAGGAGGAGGCGGAGGGGGAGGTGGAAGGAGGATGGTAGGGTAAAGAGGTCGGAGTGAGGAATTTAGAGCATGAGGGGAAGAGGGAAGGGGTGGGGGGTGGTGAGATGGAAGGGGGGGTGAGATGGAAGGGGGTGAGATGGAAGGGGGGTGGGAGGGTGAAGGGGAAAGGTGAAGGAGAGTACGACGGTACTGGAGCCCAAGGGGGGGGCGTGGTGTCGTGTAAACGGGGACACATCGGTCATGCCGGTGAGGACAAGAAGACTCCATATCTGACACGTATGGCTTCAGCGCATGGAGCCTAAATTCCACATTTCGTATATTGTCGCTTTTAAACACCAGTGGGCTATCCCGAAAAAAAGCTGTTTTGAGAAAATCGAAGGTAAAGTTTTTGCCCCTTGTTCAGTTTCATTAAAAGACAAGGAGAGTTTTCTCTATAACCAAATAATAAATATACACACCAATGAAACCAAGTTTCTGCTAGAGGCAGGGCAATGCCCATTTTTTGTGTAGGTCAAGATTTCTGGATACCCCTGGAATCTGGGTTTTCCTGCTTGTAATTAAAAGCGACCATATAAAATCATAACCTCTTTATATAACATACCAACAACACAAAAATAACAGCAATAAATATAGCTATGCAGAACAAAAACACGATTATACCCTCCCACAAAAAAAACAAAAAAACAAAAACAAAACAACACCACCCCCTCCCAAAAAACCCACAATAATAATCGAAACTAAACAAAACAAACAAAAACATATTATAATTTCCAAGACAAAAAGAAGAACCAAAATAAAAATTAACAAACAAAAAAACCACCCTAAACATTAGACGCTCTACTGTAACTAGGCTACACTATTTATTAGAACCCTATCAAGACGCGCGATGTGGTTTTTTTGCGTTATATTTCACGTCTCACGTCATTAGGATCAGTTTCCGTGGGCCGAGTGAGTATAAAGTCCCGGTGATTCATCGAGTGGCTGTAACGTTGTTGCTGTTCGTTGTGTTATCTGGTGGTTGCTGAAGCCTCTACTGAGACTTTGGACGTGTTCAAGTGAGTACTTGCACACACACATACACATACACATACACACACACACACACACACACACACACACACACACACACACGCACAAACACACAATTGGAGGTTTTAGGGTTGCAGAATATACGAGGAGGGATTTTGGACGTTTATTT